CGAACTAACCTTACCTTACTACTTATCTAAACAAGTAATAAAATAAATAAAATAAATAATACTAACTAAATACTTACTTTTAGTTTAGTTATATATATATATATATATATATATATATATATATATGGAAAAATTTTATATACGGATGCAACCTGATAATGTAGAACTACGAATGCACCTCAAAAATCGATCGGAAAATATAGTTTTAATGTTGAAAAACCCTTTGATTGATCATCTCGACATCGAGATGTATGACCATGAAAAATAAAAAGATTTTAAGTCTCAAAAATAGTGCATTTTACAACATATTATCTACACCGTCCATTTTCACGATTTTCATATATTTATAGATCTACTTGATTTTAACCATTTTTTAAATTTAAAATTTTATAATTAGATATAAAAATAGATTTTGAGATAATTCTACGGACATTTTATATCAAAATTATATACCATGATAAAATTTGAAGGTGCACCTTACGTCTACAGCTACGGATGCATCCGTATGCCAATTGCACCATATATATATCGGGTCGGACCGCCAAAAACTGGATCGGCCAGTGCCCAGTTCCAGTTTGACTAGCTGGTTTCGAGTTGGACCGACCGAGTTTGCGAACACTGCATCAAACAAATGGATTTTTTGGCCCGGGTTTGAACTCATGGCCGATAGGTTAGATTCGAGCATAGGCAATTCAGCCCATGATAGGCTTGTTCCAAGGTGTCCTTGGGTTAGAGAATGGGCCTGGGTCAACCTAGGCCTAGCCCACTCGCAGCTATTCGTAAGTCTGGACTGAGTACCAAGATGCCAATTCTCTTCAAATTTCATTGGAATAAATAAGTGTTGGCCAATGTTTAAAAAATCGTACACAAGCTCCTACTTTCCAGGTATCAGGCAAGTCCAAATCAGACCAAGCAATTTTTCGTATAAAAAATTTGATCTCCATAAAAAATGGGAGGCTCAGGCAATTCCGGTTATTTTGGACCTAGGGTTACTTGGATACCAAGAAAGAATTAATCAGATATCATGACTATTGATTTGAATCTCTTTTTCCAAATCAATTTTTCAAACACTGGTATTTACTAATAAAATAAGATGAAAGGTTAATCACCTCACCTTTTTTGCCCAATTCCAATATCCCACTAGTACCTTAACAAGCTGCTCCGTAAAATCCCTAAAAATAGCTCAATTTCACTCTTCCAGAGTTGTAGTTTGATGATCCATTTGAACTTTCTAACTCTGAAACATGCACAACCCTCAACCTCCCTGGAATTTGTCACCATTTCATCAAGACCATTGTTTCCTCCCTTTCTTGTGAGCCCTCCAAAACAAGGTTTTCATGAGTTTGTATCGACAATCTAGGGCCATAGACCTTTCTTACTGGTCTTTCGACTAAGAAAGAGAGGAATCAACCTGTTGTAGAACAAAGGATTTCTTGTTAAACTTTTCCCATGAAGGCGAGAAACTGCACTATCACAATTGAACTATATCCCTCATATTTCACTTGGCTAGGTGGCCGCCCCTTCAGGAGGTGAAGAATGCCTGAAGGATTTAGTTTGCTCCAGTTAGAATTTCTTTTGCCTGAACACAAGACTAAGCCAGCTTGTCCTTGACCTCCCTCACAGAAAACAGGATGTCTATCAGTAAGCTAGAACCTAAGTGACTACTCCGTGAAGAATCATAGTAATCTGTCCTCTAGTTTTGGCCCCAATAATGATCAGTGCTGATGATTTTTTCTGCCACCAGGGATTCATGCCCCGTATAAGTACTGACAAGGCAGCCTTTTAAGGGAGACACATTTTGTGGCTCTTGGTGAGGTGGGCATACCTACCGTATCCCAAAATCTCAGTGTGGAAAGGGACGACAGGTGAATTCAATGTAAACCTCACTGGTGTTTAACCATGTCAAGGCTGAGCTGTAAGCATTAAGCTTAAATTGTTAAATCCATGTCCAGCCTTCTAAAGATTAAATTAACAAGTTCCACATATAAACCATCTAGTTGTTTATGTCACTGTAAATAAGAATATCAACATGGTAAAAGATGAGTAAACCACCTTACAACATGAAAAGAGTTAGTGTGTTTAGAGACTACAAGAATTAGTGTTTTTGGGGACAATCATCCCCTGAAATAAATAAAATAATCTCTTGAAGCTTCCCATTCACCAGACAAAGCTACCAAATACCGTGTGGGCATGCATGAAAGATGAAGAGACAGATGCTAGTTCTAATTCTTGCAACTGAGAAAAACAAATCATATCTATGGAAATATAACACTGCCTTTCTGTGGTACAAAAGTACAATTTTCATCAAAGGAAATATGACATGGACACTTTGAGGATCAAGCTTTCATAGATAGTGATAGTGCATTCTTTTTGTAAATTGTAACCGAAAGGTCGCGAGTTCAATGCTCACAGGGAGGTTTGAAATTATTTCATCTTTCTAATCTAAGATTTGTAAAAGACATGGACCCTGAGAAAGGAAAGAGAGGTAGATCATATACTTCTGAGTTGACATGAAAAGGAAGGAAGAAATGCAAGCCGGATGGAAACAATTCTGCAAATCATATACATCTGACCCGCTGACAAAATATAAAGGCCAATTATACTAATAGCAAGGATTTTATCCAAATTAGATGCTCCATATAGTCTAGGTACGGATTTTCTTTTTTTTTTTGGGGATAGTTACATTATCAACCTAAAAGAAATTACAAGAACGCTAGAACAATGAGAAGTAGTCAAAGTAACAAGAACCAATTGGCCTACGAGAAGGAAATAGACAGGTTTGATAACTCCACCCAAATATAAGGAGCAAAGATAAAATCTTGAGCTCACATAACTCCTATATTGCATTACATTGGCTAGCAGCCAAGGGAACATAGCTTCCTTCTGCACCCATCTGATCAAATTGAGGCTATCACTCTCAGTGATGCCTATAAATACATAGAACGGCCATATCTATAGCATGAAAAGTCTAAATTATCGTAAATAAGACAATGATCCGACAACTCTTCATATCTACCACTCTGACGTGAACAAATTGCATAGACAGTACATTAACTGATACGGACACCTATAAGAAATATATTAGAAGTCCTTAAAGAATTGAAAGCATTTTATCCTGCAGTGATAACTGAATGCACCACTGCATTTGAATGCCTATATTGGTATTAGACACAGAATAATCCATACGTTGCTAACTATTGCATACAGCCCGTACCCTGTACATGTATACATACATAAAATCTCTCTCTCTCTCTCCTTCCCCCCCCCCCCCATGAAATCCTTTCTACTAACAATAGAATAATCAGTAGTGGTCAGAAACAAGCCGAGAAACAGAAATACCAGCATTGACATTTATGAATGCATATCTCTGTGTGTGTGTGTGCCTGCCTGTGTTTGTGTGTGGGTTCAACACTGGTATTTTTCATTTGGATTGAAACTATATAGTTACAAATACAAGTGAAAGTTACAATTACATCTCAAGAAGTAGGTAACTTCCCTACGAGTGTGAGAATTGAGTATTAGCCACATGATAGTCCCTAAACTAGTTGTAACGATAGAAATCCTTTAAATAAGTTAATAGTGTCACCTCTTCTATCGTTGAAAAATCTGAATAGCATAAGTTTCCAGCTGTAATGAAGTTCTGTACAAAGTCCAATCTTTCAGTTGCATACCTTCCTCGAAAAATAGATCTAACAGGTAAAAATAACCAAGAGGCAATATTTAGTCTTCATTAACTTGCCTCGGGTTTTGTCACAGCAGTCAATTCACATTATATACACAGTTCCTGCTGATGATGGGATGAATCCTATTGGCAAAGTAATGGCTATGAGATTACACAAACGATTCTGGTCATCCAAAGAGGAAGAGGAACCTGCGAAATGGCAGCTTTCCATTAAAACAAGCATTTGGCGAGTTATGATGTGTGAATCACAAGCCAATTTTAAAATCAATCCAATTTTTAGAACCAACCCAATTTTAAATCGCAGAACACATGACAAATGTTGATGCATTTCTTGAATTATTACCCCAACAACTCATGCCTCAATCCTCAAATACCATAGTTTTCTCAGGTAATCTACCCTACCTAATTTTCAGAGGTAAGAACCATCAAAAGGTTCAAGGAAGCAGAGAACTCATAAATGGCAGCTTTCCATTTAAAGATGCATTTGAAGAGTCCACAAAATGTGATATTTAAAGAAAGAGGCCTACCCCAAATATGATAGTTTGATAGGCAATTTAAACCACGGGCGCATATCAAATGTAGATGTTGAATTATCTCAAAAAATCTTAACAACTGATGCCTCCATCATTGGATGTCAACACTTTCTCATGTAATCAACCCAACCCAGTTTTTAAATGCAAGAATAGCTTCCACTTTTCTGTAATTCTTTTTTCTCAACCTTTGTAACTTGAGTTTCTTATGGGTCTCCATAAATACTTGCTTGTACCTCCATTTATCTACAAAGATCTTTAACTCCTGAGTTTTCTCCACAACTTGCATGGCTGCATCAAAGAACCCACCCTTAATCAAACCATACAGGAACGCGTCCACCAAGTTATGGTTAAATTTAATACTTGGATTTTCCTTACCAGCATTTACCATCATCCTTTTTCTCATCTCTGTCCATAGAAGCAAGACACTAAAGAACTTCTCGGCTGCACAATATCCATGGGCTAGAGAGAGGAAGGTTTGTTCATTGGGTTCAAAATGAAGAAAAACCATCCTCCTAAAAGTGCGCCTAGCATCCTCTAAGCGCCCGAGTTTACAGTAAGAATGGATCACCGAATTCCAATCATGGGTACCCACTTCAACCCTTGGATCTGAGACCACCTCATCCAAAAAAGCAGCCATCAATTCAGGTCTATGGTTCTCAGTTAAACCAGCCATAATAGTTAAGTAGCTCATCTTCAAAGTCGGTATTCTCGCCTCTCTCATATCTCTAAACAGTGAGAAAGCAGATTGGAAGTCTTGATTTGTCATGGCAATATCTATCAAAGTTTCATAGCTCTCTGCGTCAAGCCGAAGCCCTAAAGACCCAATCTCAGAAACCAACTGGGTGGCTTCAGTTGTCCGATGGTCTTTACAATAAGCCTTCAATATCAAAGTATAAATCTCAATACCAACTGAAGCTCCTTGAGCATTCATCTCATCAAGAACGCTATGAGCTTTATCAACAAATCCAAGCCCAATAGAGGCATCTATAACACCAGACCCAAATGATTTTGCAGTAACAGCTAACTTTGACTCAATCTCCAGACAATCCATAATCAACTTAGCTAATTCCTTGATTTTACCCTGACCCAAAAAACCCTCCGAAATTGCCTTGTAAGTTCCTTCATCTAGAACACCCAATTGTGAAACTTGTTCAGAGCTTCTCTCTGATCCTTCTCTTAGCATTTGCAGTACAAACAAAGAGGCAGACTTCAAATCACCTGAACTAATATAACCGATAATCAAGCCACTGTAAAATTTGGCATCATGCTCTAAATTAAGTTGATGCATTTGTTTCTGTAATTCAAGGATCTTCTCCTTAAGACCCTTTTTTGAATAAATACGTGCCATTATAGAAAAGCTAATTGAATTTGGCTTGAGACCCATATCTGAAATTCTTTCAAATACATTCTCAGCTTCAGTTACAAGCCCAAATCTGCAACAAGCCTCCAAAGCAGCATTGAAAGTAGGCAAGTCCGGCTTCATAAAGTTCAAAGATTCATCCATAGCAACAGTACTACATATCTCATTAAAAAATTTCAAAAACTCAGGAAAGCTACTATTTTTACAGCAAAGCTCTATAGATACAGGGCCCCAAACATCAAACGGCGGGTAAAACTTGTTTCTCAACATGGCTTTCATCAGAGCCAAACATGGGGCAGTCAAATCGGCAAGTTTAATGGCTTCAAGCAATATTTGAATGGAATCAAGGCTAATGAGTTGTGGGTCTTTCTCTAATAAGAGAATTACGATTGAAAAAGCTCTTTTGAGATTTTGGGTATCTTTGAGAGAGGATAAATGAGAGATGAGAGAGTTAGTGAGATGCTTACCTGGAAAAATGGAGTTGTTGCATAGGAGTTTGAAGGCCCTCCATGCTTCATCTGTAGAGTGAGAAAGTATAGCTTTCTGAAGGTTATCTTCAATGGTGGTTTTCATAAGGGGTGGCTCTAAATTGGGTTCTGCTGGTTTTTTGGTGGATGGCTCTGAAAGTGGATTGGGTTTGTTTAGGGCAAAAATGGTAGGTTGGAGAAAGGAATGCAGAGATGGGGTTTCAGAACAGGTGGATAGGAATCTGTTGAGAGAGAGAATGGGCAGTCTTCTCCACATATTCTTTGCTAGCCTTTGTCAAAAAATCTCTAAAGAAGAGAACTTGAAGTAGGATTATATGTGTAGATTACAATAATTTAGAGAGAGAAAATGGCATAGAGAAGAGGAAGATGGGAACCAGTAGAGAGAGAAAATGAGCGGCCTTGCTCTTAATAACAATATAACACTGAAGGTAGGCTCTAATTTGATAGGGCTGCAGCCTCACTTCATGACTCACCAAAAATTGCAATTCAAGTCGAAAAACTTTTAAATCGATCATCTCATCTCAGCTTGAACATTGTGGTTGTGCAAAAAAAATTAGGTTTATTAATTCTAAAAAGAGTACATACTCCAACAAATCATCTAGATCATCCATTTCGTCCTAAAAATAAATGTTTATAGATCTACGAGGTCTGTACCATTTTTTAGGTTTCAAAATTTGTTGTTAATGTTGGAAATTAATATTAGAGCCACAAAAATTTCCGATGTCGAAAGTGCTTTCTAGATGAAGATTTAAAGTGAGGCATTATTTTGTTTTAATATAGCCTAAGTGCTATAGAAACTTCATCCTTTTACATATTTACATATCTCCTCAATTTATATTATTTTGAATTTTAATACTTAGTATAAAAATTGACTTTTAGTCTATCTTAAAGGTTTTTAACACTAGAAGCTCATTTTTTCAGTAAGGTTTAAGTACATCTTATTTCAGTTATTGTCAAAAAACAAAAGGAATTTACAGAAAAACCTTATCTATGTTTTTAAATTGAAAAATTATCCCATATATTTCATATTCTCAAGTCCCACCTTTTTTGAGTTTTAAAGTATTTTAATTTTATATTTTTATCTAAATATCGGATTAAGCTCTAATTTGGTAATGTTCGTACTTCTTACTATCATTAACTTATACAAATATTTAAAAGATAATTTAAAATAAATAAAATTACTAAAATATCTTAAATATTGAAGGGATTTTCTTTAAATTTTTAAAATAGTGGCTTTCTATGAATTTAAAAATAATTCCAAAATAATAAGGATTTTTCATAAATAGGGATTTTTCCTTAAATTGGAATAGGGAAGTTTTAGTATTTTTCAACTGCACTTTACAATCACTTAAATGAGTATATTTACAAAAAAAAATAAGAAACGAAAAGGGTCTTTAACTAAGTGTGTGGTTTCTATAAGGTTGCAACCTTAAACAATCATGTTAAGGCGCACTTTTAAATTTTATCGTAACATGTGCTTCGGTGTAAAAAATTATTGTTTTTATCTCAAAATCTAGCTTTATATCCAATTATACAATTTAAAATTCCAAAAATAGTTAAAATCAAGTAGATCTACAAACTTAAAAATCTTGACGATGGATTGTGTAGATAATGTGTTGCAAGATGCACTATTTATGGGATACAAAATGTTCATTTTTTTTTCATATCCATACATCTCAACATTGATCAATTAGAGGGTTTTTCAACATTAAAACAACATGTTCTAATGGATTTTTGGGGTGCATATTTTATTCTACATTTTAAGGTTGCAACCTTATATAAACTTTTCTCTTTAACTAAACTTATAGCTTGGAGTTTGGACAGTTTGGACGGCTTCCATTGAATCTTATGACTTAGATTTTTTTTCATTGGCGGTCTATCCTAAAATTTGGTGTCTTAAAATACTATAACCTGTAAACAATGGTGCAGATCTAGTGTATTCGTAAACACTTAAAACTAGACGGCCGAAATAATGTATTTCAAAAAACACTAGTTTCGAGGCTTCAAATCCATTTTTAGTATATACAATTGTTGAAGTCTAGATGATCAGTTTTAGGGGTATCTGGCAGCTGAACAATTCCGACGAGTCTTTGAAGTGAGACTTTACTTTTGTTATTATGAAGCATAACCTTCTATACTTTTTCCATAGTCATTTTGGTCTTTAGATTTTCATTCATAGTAGGCCTCGTTTGGCGCCTCTTTAGTGTAGAAAAAAGCCCTCAACATTTCATTCAGGATTTCGTATTTTATTTGAAAAAAAAATTAAGGGAGGTAAGATTTTACGTGATATTGGGTACCTCTATAGAGATATTTCAACAAGAGGTTAAAATAAAGTGTCTAAGTCTCTTGAAGTATGGTCAACACATGCCAAAAACGGTAGATCATGTGTCTGTGACATAGAAACATAGTAAATAAACAAATATCTACATAATACAAAGAACACGGTTATTTCCTTATAATTAATCATATTTGATCATGATTCAAGCTTTTAAAATAAGTTAACACAAGGATAGATTGCCAATTACTATGACTAAATATCGGTCGATCAATCACAAATAGTTCAATTTATTTGAATATGAAATTTCTCTTGACTCTCTCTTCCTGTGACCAGATGAAGCCATGAGCACACCCACTGCTGCAGCAAACATGAACAACATGGCTACAAGCAAGATATAAGTCATCTTTGATGATCTCCTGAACTCCCCAAATAATAATATTCCCCAAAAGGTGCTTACAAGAGGAAGTGCCTGCAACCAAAAAAAAACTTCGCCTTTAAAGGAGCATGAAGAAGACATCTCAAAGTAGCATGAACACACATCTCACAAACATCGCAACATGTTCCCTTCCTCCTATGCGTGTTTGTGCATAAATAAGATGAGAGACTGCATGTGTGAGAGAGGTTTGGTGTGCGGTGTGCGTGGCCGTGCACATAATACATACACATGAATATGCATATGTATGTTTACATGATATGGTCATATACAGAGTTAAAAACAAGGACTTTGGTTTGGACTTGCTGGGTTCCGAGCCAGAATGAGGTTTGACGGATTTGTGCACAACAAATACGCATACACTTACATGCATATGCTTATATAAGCTGATCCTGAATAGTCGGAATAAGGCTTGAAAGATGATGATGATGACAATGCCATGTATGTGTATATATGTATATATATATACATGTGCATACATACAACCACACAAATATGCACAATGCGCACAAGCTCACAAATGCATGCACATCAGCATACATGAACTCACCTCGGCCAGGAAACTCGCCCCTTGGCCGAGGCTAGTTAGTCAGCCAAGTCCTCAGAGCTTGGCCGTCCTGCACAGGTCTGAAAAGCCCTAAATAAATTGAAAAAAATGAGGAAAAATTCAAAAAAATAAAATGAATGTATTAAAAAAAACAAAAAAAATCTTTAGGAGTTCAAATAAGCTTAAAAGAGTACTACAAAAATGGATTTGAAACATATTTATAGTTGTGGACATTTGAAAAACTCCACAAAAAGGGGAAAATATGAAAATAGGGATTTATGGTGAAAAACACTAACCAATATTTCCAAAACATCAAACTCATGTCAGAAAATTTGTATAACATAACTTGATTTCTTTACCTTTTTTTTTTTGAATTTTTTTAAATAAGTGGTACCCGGCTGAGTTCAGTCGCGTACACTGATACACATATATGCACATGACAAAGCACACTATGATGCACATGAGAACAGAAATCTACAAGCACAAGTGTTACTGCCGTCAAATCAATTTATTGATGGTGATGGATAGAGAGTGGGATGCACCAAAACAGGGTGGGAAAGTCTCAGTCACTGCCCATAATAGCATTCCAGCCATTGATTCGATGACAGTAGACATTTATGACCACAGATTTTTTATTGTCATATGATTCATAATAATATGCAAAAGGTCCCACAGTGAGGATACAAGGACTAACCTGAACTGCATCAGCAGCTGCATACCCCGCTGCTTGGCCGCCCATGAACTGAAAACCATTTCCAAATCCACACAAAAATCCTGCCAAAAGAGCCCATTGCCTTTCCTTCCAATCCTTTACATAAGCGGTAAGAGATGACTTTGGTAGTCCAAGAATGGGGTGATACAGGAAGGTGACATTTAGAATGATGGCTAGAACAAAACAAGAGATGGAGAAGTAGAAAAACGCGGTGTACACAACCAAATGAGGAACCTCAGGTTTCAATGTGTGCCATTGATCATTTGTAGCCAAGTTGAATGCAGGAGAGAAAAGAGAGAAACAAATGCCTGACATGAACACAATCCACATCCCAAACATGGTGCTGGTACCCACAACCTGTTAAAAGACCAGTATAATTTTATCATACTCGCATTACTATAAATTAAATCAAGTCAGTAACAAGCCTCACACATACACATAATATACATGTACATATAAAACATGTGCACATGCATACATACATGAAGGGTAAATACAATATATAACAGAGAGAATGTGGTTAATATAATATAAAATGTTTGAGGTTGGAAAGCTATGCACAACATGCTATTGCTTGTCTTTAAAGAATAAGATGATCATGGTGGTATTAATGGGTTTATGAAGGTTGTTATGCATTAGCGTATTGATGTTAAAGACTATATTGACAATGTGTTTAAAAGTCCATTACTTTGTTACAAATATTTGAATCCATGCATAAACCAAACCTTGATTGACCTTCTGCTCTCAAGTGCCATAAAAAACTCTGCAGTTCCCGCCCCTACTTCCTTATCAGTGAAAGGAACAGCCTCATACTTTCCCTTCTCCAAATCAGTAGTTACATCTACAACGACAGTAAACACTCGTAATATGTCTTATTTAAAAATTTACGGATTAATGGAAAAACAAAAGCCATAAAGCTCAAGAGTAACATCTCAGAGTATATACCTGTGCTTGTTGTAACTCCTGAATTTAATTTGATACTGCCAAATAAGAAGTTGATGAGCAATGTCAAAACAGATGATTATTCATAAGGCACGAGAGATTTTGAAGGATAATAAAAACAGAAGAGAAGGGAGTAGATTATCTGAATTCATTTTTTTAGTTCAAGGATACAATCAGGTTAAATTTTTTCTAGATCAATAAATGCAATGAGAATTCTTATTCTTGTTTCAGATAATTGTAGGATTGGAAAAATCAAATACTGGTTTTGGTAATTGAGATTCCATTTGTGTGATTGTTGTTTCTGAATCAGACTATCAAAATCTTTCCATGAGTAGGTGCAATCGATAGACATCCTATGAGAGTGAAGCTTGCAGTTATCAGACTTGGTCTAAACCACATTCAGAAGTATTGCTTCCAAAATCAGTTTAACAAAGGCAAATCAGTGAAAACCAAGCCAAGCTTATGATATATACAAAGGCATGATGTAACATACACCACCTTTGACGTCCGCTATCCATTTCCAGAGATGGACAGTAGTGATTAGTCATCATTCTCAACAATGGAAATTCACCCAGGTATGAGTAATCTCCACCATCCATCACCATGACAGCAAGAAGGATGCATCAACACATACCATGCACTGGTTGTATGCTTGACCCTTTTTTTCTTTTTTTCCAAATACGGTATACTTTCCTATAAGTATATCTGCTCCAACAAAAACACATGATTAAGTTCAAGTTTTGAATACCATCGAAGCATGATTAGCTGATTGTTACTGTCAGATTCCATTCTGAAATTTTTTAGAGTTTGTTACTATCACTAAATTGTACTAGAAATATATGGCTTGAAGTTTGTGCACCAATTCCAGCATTTAGGGGACTTCATGAGAAAAAGAAAGAGAAAGGTTGTGGTTTTGTGACATTGAAGTTGGGTTAAAGCTTTAAAAATATTGGCAATTGCTCAATGAATGAACAGTGGTGTCCATTTTCTAATCAATGACCCAAAGAAGAAGAAGGAAGAAAGAAGAAGAGAGAAAAAAGAAAGAAAATGAATTGGTACTTAAATGGCTAGATGAACTTTTGTGTTCATGTTAGCCATCCATGTTAATGAACACCCAGGAGCCCAGCCTGATTCTAATCGATGCCACATGAGAATTCTCAAGGCTGCTATATCCATGAAATGGCATTCTCAACCACAAAGTTTTCACCGAGGCCCTGGCATTTGATTTCCAAAGGTTCTTAGATGGGTTCATAATTTCATATCTCAAAGTATATGGATGTGCAGTTTCTTTCATTTTATTGGTCTTTTTCTTTTTCTTTTTTTCTTCTTTTTTTTTTGGTCTCTCGAAAACAGAAAGAAGGAAAACAAAGAATTAGCTCTTTACACAAAGCAGTTCAACCTAAATAGGAAGATAAAATGCCTCTCAAAAGCAGAACAGAAACAGACATTTAACTCAATGCCATGGGAAGGGAAAAATACCCCTTATCTTATAGACTCTAAAATTAATGAACTGGTCCATTTTTTGTTGCATAAAGAAACCAACTTTCTTTATCAATATATGAGTACTGATTTCCCAAAGACTGTGCTAGACTACCCATTACAAACATCAAAATGGATCAAACAAAGGATTCTATTCCCATGTGAAGCTATAACTACAGTATGATTGACAGAGTCATCAGTGGCTACACACTTCAGTTTGTAGTTTAAATGCTTCATTTTTCATAATCAATCTAATAAGCAGGGATAAAAACATCAAGAAATAAAGGAATTACCTCACCAGTTCGTTGCCCTTAACACTAAGCTTTGCTTTAATATCAGCGAAATTGGATGAATGGACAGCTGATCCAAGACAAACAGCAATAACAAAACACCCCACTCCAGGGAAGAGGATCTCAGCTCTATTGATGCGATCATCCAAGAAATAGTTCATTGTTGTTCCTGAAATATTCACCCAAAGGATAAACTGTATTTGGCTAGAATTCCAACTGGCCTCGATCCTCAGAAAGTTAAAAGTTCATGTTGTTCTCTTTATAAAAGCTATCCAGACAACCGTTCCCAAGACATTCGATGTGATTGAACAAAAGCAAAAGATTTATACAATCCTCCAACTTTTATCCAAAATACAATTTCGTATTACTTTTAACTTTGTTCCTATTTCACTAGCCAAGTTGGAAAATAACAATGTATTTCTTTGTGAATAGTGATCACAGTTGTAGACTTGGAGTAAAAAATTCTACTGTCTGCATATTTGTGAAACCCATGTTCTCATTTTAATGTTAAATATTACCATACTAAGTGTGCACCTTCAGCAATAGGATACAACTTTCGATGCATATAGTCACATGTTATCATTTTTAGTTGATTCAAGATGAAGGATAATAGTGAAGGTCGTGGAATTGGAACAATCCAATGAATATTTAAATTATTGGCAAGAAAAAACAAGTTCAAGGTAAGAAGATATATATATATATATATATATATATATATATATATATAGAGAGAGAGAGAGAGAGAGAGGA